CTTCTATCAAAATTTAGATATTAGTTGGCTAATTTAATGATTGTTATTTATAATGGGTGTTTGCAAGAAAACTTGCTCTCATGCAAGAGTGGAAGGAAACGGCCACAGTAAGAAATGAATAACATATTGTCATTTTGAATCAGACTGGACTCCTCAGACATTTTGGTTTTGGTGTCAGTGGAAGAATATGGTCTGACTCCAAACATCCCAGGATATCTATTCTTTGTGATAGGAAATCAATACCTCATCTTAGTTTCGATTGATACAAATTATATGATGTGCTATTCATATGTCCATTACCGGAGAAAAGATCTCAAGACTTACCTTCTTAGTCTTAACTGTAGCATGCCAAAATAGTGTAACTCTGAGAGGCTTCAATAAGTGTGTATGCTATTGGTGGTAGATGGGAATACACTGCAAGTTCTATTGTGCTTATAACTAATGTATAGGAGAATCAGAGTAGAGGCAGTTATAATCAAGGAGCCCAGTCCCGTGACAGGCCTCAGGGGTTGCATTAGTTTTGGTTTGGTGCTAGACTCAACAGAATTTTTAATTTATCCAGCTTGGAAGGGGAATGCTAATTGGTAGTAATACTACCCTGAATTTACTTTTTCTTTTTTCCTTTTTTTTTTTTCTTTTTTATTATTGCATTTTTATTATTTTCATCAATGAGTTATCAGTTATTTTATTCATGTACTTTGCCTCCTTTATTGCCGCCACAACCTCCACTTCTTTTCTAGTAACAGATGGAAACCATTATTATTTTGGGAAGAATAATTTGTTTGTTTCAGAATGAAGCTCATGAGAAGTTCAAGACCAGCATTTCTGAAATTTTCCCTGAAAAGGGGTTAAATGTGCCTGGAACAAGGAGGCATTGAAACAAAATGAAGGGCTTTAACACATATGTTTGCTAAAGCAGACTAGATGGCAAAGGGCTACAACATGCAAGATTTTTTAAAGATATGAAACTGGAGAAATATGAAGTGCTCCTCAAGAAACCACAAGTTTATAAAGTCAGACTGTAACAATAGCTGTGGATTGGGAAGTTTTTTAGAGTTTATTCCGTGTGTCCTAGTTATTTTTTTGGTATTGTGGCACCTGTGGCTGCTGGGTTTTATGTACATAGAGGATGGCACCTAGAGGGCTGCATGTGTAGGCACACAAGATGCATGAGAGGGGATAAAATACAGGAATGTGACTGAGGAGAAAGGAAAGAACCCACACAACCAGTCCAGAGGAGTGCAAGCTCCTCATCCTCGGGTCACCATATTCCTTCGCTACTAGTAATGACTCATCAGTGACCGCCAGACTGGTCCCGCCGCAGATTCACGGTGCTGCGACAGGAGAAGCCAACGGGACAAGGACAGTCAGTAGCGGGGCTAGAAGAGAGGCGGCAGCAGGCCCAAGCATCAAGAAAGAACCAGCGTTTGGCAGCTCAGATGGAACGCCGCCCAGCAGTTGTAGCAGCATTGAAGCTGAAAAAGGTAAGTATTATACCCGAGTTAATTAATTTTAAATACTTTTTGTGGCTATCAAAAGTACCTACTCAGTCAATGTGTGCATATAGAAAAGACATTTAAGTCAAGAAAGTAAAAGATATATTTGCATTGTGGCTGGAATTATGAACTCTGTTTGTAAGAATATAAGGAGGTCACTTTACGATAAGCATAATAGACACGAGTCTAATAATAATTAAATATACAGATCCTATCAGGAAGTTATATTTTCAGAGTTATGAAGTAAGAATCTTGGTAGTATCAGAATTAGAAAATTGCTTTGCAGAAGAGTGTGGAGCAGCGCCTCAATGGACAGAGACCCTTGTCTGTGAAACAAAGGCTAGCCGTGAAAGGACGTCTGAGCATTCCTGAAGAGGGTGGCAACATCCAGGTTAGGGGACGAGGTGGCCTTCGAGGCGCAAGAGGTGCAAGTTACAGAGGACTCCGAGGAGCTGGCTTCAGAGGTGGCAGAGGTGCTCTTGGTATCAGAGGTTTGTACTTTTGTTGCTGTTAGTGTGTTTTGGTTATTAGAGAGAAAATTGTCTTATGTTTGTGTGTATGTATTTGTAGGTATTATCCCCTTACTCTCTAAACTCTTGGCATTATCTCTACCTACCAAAAAGTGCACATGTACATATAAAGAGAAGTGAATAGTTAAATATACCATATATTATGTCACATTAAGACGCTTTTTTTTTTGGGGGGGGGGATTTTACATATATATGTAATTCAAATGTCCCTTTTTTTATATATACTCCCAAAGTATTATTTCTGCTTATAACATTCAAATGCAAGCTCAAGACATAAATTGGTTGAAATTTTTAGTATAAAATCCAGACTCTAATAATGACATATTTGCTACTTTCAATAACATTTTTACCAGAATTTGAGGTAAATCCAATTTTCATAAAATAACATTTTTTTCAACATGAATGCATGTCTGGATTCAAAGTAGAGCGCCCTAAACTGCATTTGTGGCAGCATGCTCTCTTTTCTCTTTTCTCTTTTCTCTTTTCTCTTTTCTCTTTTCTCTTTTCTCTTTTCTCTTTCAATTTTCTTCTTCTTCTTCCAATTTTCTTCTTCTTCTTCCTTCTTTCTTTCAGTTTTTCATTTTCTATTTCCCTCCTTCCTTCTTTCTTTTCTTCTGACCCACTGCCTGGAACACCTGGAACACCTCCACTTTCTGTTGGGGCTCCCCATGATATGTGCTTTCTTTGTGCTTTGGACCTGATGTCCCCAAGGATCGAGAGGTCCAGACACAGCTAATCAAACTGTTTTAGTTAGGATAATGCAAATAATATACTAATTAGGTTTCCCTCCTTCCTTCTTTCTTTTCTTCTGACCCACAGGCTGGAACACCTGGAACACCTCCACTTTCTGTTGGGGCTCCCCATGATATGTGCTTTCTTTGTGCTTTGGACCTGATGTCCCCAAGGATCGAGAGGTCCAGACACAGCTAATCAAACTGTTTTAGTTAGGATAATGCAAATAATATACTAATTAGGAAAAGACTGCATTGCAGGAGTGTTGATCAAAAAATGCCATCATAGAACATGTGATGTTTCTGTGGGGGGGGATGCATGCGTGCGTTCCTTGTTTGTTCACATATCCTTATGATCTTTGTTGGGTACCCCAAGGGGTACCCAGTTTGGACAACACTGTTCTAAGGCATGGTGGACTGTGAAGGTGATGTTGGCTAGATCATAAAGGAAGAAAACCTTTTACCAGACCTTGAATCTGTAAGCCATAGGTTAGTAGAATGTCTTTTGATCCCTAATGTCAAAGCCCTTCATGCCAATATTGTAATCAGCTACCTTCAATGACCTGCCCATCCACTGAAATGGTATGGTCAGTGGACTAAGGTGACAAGTGTTGCACGACCAGCAAACCTGTCTTGCAATGGCAGTAGTTAACATCATCCATCCTCCTCACACTGAGATCCTCTGTGCATAAACTACATGTTCACCTTGGCTGTGCTTACATTTTTCCTACAGGCCAGCAACATGTAGGCCTTGATGTGTACCAGTTGTTCAGTTGTTTATGGACAACCGGCACACATCACCTGCCCAAGGAAGCTATCAGACTCCAACTACAGCACCATTCTCATGGATGAAGACATCTCACAACAGTCCTTACCAATGTACAACCAGAAACATGAGTTGTATCCATCGGGCTATTGTCAGTAGAGAGCTGATAGATCTTCAACCCATAAGTCAGCCTCTTGTTCGGGCTGAGAGTTATAAGTTAGTTGCCCACAGATCCTCCACCATAACAAGGCAGTTTGTGTGGTGCTCTTAGGGGAAGGTTCCTATGTGGCTGTGGCACATTTGGTATAAGGAGTCCTTCTCTAAAACAAACGTCAAGAGGAATGAGTCATTGAGGCTCATTGAGGCAAGTGGATATAAGTTTTTATCTGGTCAAGCCTATCCCTTGGCATAACCATGGCAACAATGTCACAGACAAACAAGGGATTGGTTGACCAATTTTAGTAATAACAGGGACACAGCTGTATCCTCGTCAAGGAGATCGTTGTTGAAAATACACCCAAAGATCTCCAGAGGTCTGCTAGACATGTCCAGGATGGCCAGTGAAACCAAAATGTTTAGGGACAAGTCCTTTCATCACAAGATGGACAGGGCCCCCAGAGCATTCCTCTCCTACACCTGGGTAGCCCTATTGGACAGTGACTTATCGTTGACAATCATGTTGACCTGGGAGACAATCCTGTTCATCCTCTGAACTGGATACAGCAAAGTTTGTAAAGCTCATCCACCCTTCCCAGCACCTGCGCTTCATTGTTCTCCTCTGGGGAAAGGTCAAAAATGGACAGCCAGATGGGAACAAAGATCAGCAAGGTAGATGGTACCAAGGCAGTTGGGAGCGGGGACCCTTGATGTTTCTTTCATCTATGTTGTCAGTTCCAGCTACTTGAAAGTGAATATGGCAGCTTTAATGATATCACTTCCTCTGTTTTGTGATGTCATTTCCCATAAAACCTAGTGATATCACTTTGCCTGCCTGCCTCTGTCTGTCTCTATTTCTGCATGCAACATAGAAGTAATAGTGATAATCAATAACTTGACGTAATTTGCTGTTGCGTGTGCACCATGAAATTGTCTTACACTTAAGGGGGTTGTCGCACCCGAGAACAGAGTTCATTAATTATGATCGGATTTTCGCGAATTTTTAATATGTTATATATACATATACTATGATTTACACCACCAAGTTTCATGCCATATGGATGATAAACAATGAAGTTTCAAGATTTTAAAAAAATAATTAAATAAAAAAAAAAAAAGTTTTTGAAAAATTTTAAAAATTATAAATCTCACTTATCCATTGACCAAACATGTTCAAAAAAATTACCACATATACTCTACCTATAATAGACACTATTTGATTTTGAAATTTCCTCTTAGTTTAGTGTAAAATATATTATCTTGAAATGTTCATTGACATCTATATAAAATATGATAAATGGACTTATATCCCCTGAAATGAAAAACAAATTGTCAACAAAATTGCAAATTTATTCAGCTTTTAAATTATCAAATATATTCAGCTTTTAAATGATCCAAACCCTATTAGAATCACCCAAGTAGTTAAGGAGGAACAACAAACAATGTTGACAAAGGTGTAGTTTTGAGATTTCGGGCCTTGAAGTTGAGGATACTTTTCCCCGTTTTCTTTTCTTCGTGTGTGATGAGGGCACATCACACTATGTATCGGCGCAACTATGGGGTGGAGCCAAGGCAGCACAGCCTTTTGCTCTCCCTCTCTCGTGGATGTATGCTGATTCAGAAGCAGAGTTGTCGGCTAGCTACCAGAGAATACCAAAATAAATAAAAATTTAAAAATCCAGAAAAACAAATCATATGACAAATATGACACAGGAAAATGGATAAGAAGCTAAAAAAAAAAAAACACTTATCCAGAAAAAGAGAGAAGAACATTGCCAAGGGAGGCAAAGTGTTGTCACCTAAGATGTTTTTTTTTTTTTTTTTTTTATTTACTTATTTATAGGTTCATAAACTTATTGGCTCCAGGTGAGAGGGACATCTCATTATGGGTCAAGGGCAGATGACTAGGAACTTTTCACCATGGGAAATTGCTGAGTGCTGGGTGATGTGGACATATAAGTGCATCAAGCAGTTGGAGGAAGATTGACAGGTTCTTAGGAAGGGATTATTTCCAAGCTGTTGTGGAATTTATATCATCTGGAAAACCAGTATGGATTCTGCTCATTAAAAACTGTCTATTACCTTCTTGATGATGACATAGATATCATGCACGAGTCTTCATGTGAGCTGACTGTACAAGCCACACACCCAGAAAAGTCACCACTCAAAGTAAACATAATGCAAGAGTAACTTTTGGTAAGTCACCTATAAGAAAAATTCACATGCAAGAAATCTCATTCTTGGTAATGGGAGATAATGGGTTGAGATTGGAGTTTCCAGTATCAAAAAATTACCTAATATTATGTAGAGAAGAATAGCTTAATTTTTGTTTTCTCTACAGAAGGTAGTAAATGGAGATATTTTAGAATTATAGGATATCTTTCATTACCAAATAAGTTTTTGTATGTGTATAATTTTTTCTCTCGCTCTACTCTAGGACGTGGTGGCACTATTGGAAGTGCCCGAGGCGGTTTGCGTGGTGCTCGTGGGGGAAGGTTCTTACGTGGCCGCGGCACCCGTGGTCTAATGCAGGGACGTGGTACAGGAAGAGGAGCTGTGCGTGGCAGAGGCTTCATACAGAACCAAGGACGGGGAGAAATGAAAACATTCAGGTTAATATAACTAGTAATTCATTTCAATTATGAGCTATAACTAGTGCTAGGAACTATTTTAGACCTCATTGGTATGATATAGTTAAAAAAAAATTAATTATTGTGTTCAAAAATAAGTTCATAAAAATATTTACTGGTTCTAGGGGCCGTGGTCGTGGAGGTCGCATGGGTCGTGGAGGGCGTGGAGTAAGAGGTGGACGAGGTGGGGCTGCTGCCAAAGCTAACGGAACAGGGAACTGCACCCGTGAAGAGCTTGACCAGCAGCTGGATGAGTACATGAGCAAGACTAAGACTGCCCTGGATTCAGAACTTGACCAGTACATGAAAGATGCTCCAGTCTAAGCCCAAAATGAACATCTCTTCATGTTTTGCCAAATATAAGTCATCTGTGCTCATAATACAGTAATATTTTCACCCCATAGGCAGATAACAATAAAAAGGATTTTTTCATACATCAAAGATGGAATCTAGTCTTGGTGATAGCTTTCTTTTGTAATAAAACAGATGACTTGCAGAAGCAGCTGAAGATATGTACTTATTTTATGTTTATTAACATGATTTATCTGTGTGTCAAGGTTCTGAGTTTTCCATATTATCCATGATGTGATAAACTGTAGTTGATAAAGATATTTAGTCCGTTCATGTGATTCCTGTCTAGAAATGAAGTACTTGTTCAGTAATGGACCAAGAAACATGATATGGAATTCATCCAGCAGTCAAGGCTTCAATGGTTTATTTTTTCAAATGGGAATTTGCAAAACTTGTTTAATAGTACCAAGTGTTTAAGTATGTATCTGTAATATGTAAATGAAATCCTGAAGTTAACAAATATTAAAGTTTGTCCATGTTACTGCCAAAGGACTATTAGTCATTTATTTTATTATTATTGTATATATATATATATATATATATATATATATATATATATATATATATATATATGTATATATATATATATATATATATATATATATGATAATAATAGAATGGTAAATAAATCATATACCCACAGCCAACTCAATAAGTAAAAAAGTTCAGGTATGAAGTTAATTTTATATTTTATCTTATGTTTAAAAGTAAGAGGTTAAGTGCTCTTTGTGCCTCACTTACATACTTAGTTGTATCTTACTTTATATAGTTTTATGTAGAGTTTCAATTAAATAGATTTTGATCAAGAATGAGAAATGAATTGTATTGCAGAATATAGTGTAGCTGTATGAGGAAAGTTGCTGAGGCTACATATTGGTAACTAATGAAAAATATTTTACTTTTAAATGCCCTCTTGGAAGTGGCCGCTAAGAAATTCATATCCTGGATTAATTACCCAAACACTGAGTGAGATTAGGTATACCACTGAATACATGGAGTATCAGGCTTTGGTGTTAGATGACTAAATTACAGGATATTGTATGGTATGGTTTAAGTGCACTTTATTTTTTTCTGTTACCCTTATCAAGGTGTTTTATACAGTTTTTCTACTGTAAAAAAAAAAAAAAAATCTTATCGGTCTCCACATATTTGAGTTTGTTGTATACAGTGATCAAATAGAATGCATGTTTATTTTAAGTATTGTCATTTCAACCATTTGCTTACTTTTCAGTAATGCAAAGGAAGTTCATACCAGGCAAGTGTGAATGTGAAAACTTAGTTATATTCTCATTTTTGTATGTGTGGTCATAACATAAGGATTTTACTCCATGTTGGTGAAGCAAATGTCTTGTCACCATCATTGGAATGCATTGTACAAATGAATATTTGTGTATGAGAGTTCAGAACTATATTTATAGAAATTAGAAGTTAGCACTTTGTATCAGGATAGTTGTTCCTTGTATCATCTTTATACTTATAATGAAAACTATTTGAAGTGATGGTACATTGTATCATTAAATTCCCTCAATCCATAATAAAGTCTCTTCTTGATATCCTAATGAAAAGAAGTCATCTGATATTCAGATCTTTACACCTTGGCAAAGGATGCTTTGTTTCTTTTGCCTTTTTCCTCTCTATTCCCTTTCATTTCTCTCTTGCTCATTTGTCTACTTTATTTATTCCCATTCTCACTTTTTTTCTCTCTCCATATTGCGAATGTGCCATTTTTTGGCATTTTATCCTCTCTGCCCTCCCAATACCCTGCTCGTTGTTGTAGGAGACCTTAGGAGACGGACACTGAGGCCCAGTGTAGGGAATCGCCTGTACCTTGGGCTTCAGCCCTCACCTCAACTAATTTTGTTTGGCCTTTTCTTCTCTCTCCTTTCCTCTTCTGTATCTTCATCTTCTATCCCATTCCTAGGGTCTGTTAGTCATACTGAAAGGACAAAAGGCTAGCTTTGTGTCAGTCAAGAACGGCCTCTGGGAGCCATGGGCATGGCATTTCCTTGCTTAATTGCCTAGCCCTTAACCCCTTACCATTTCTTTTCCTCATTTTATTCAGGCTCACCATGGCCATTAATGGTTAATGGTTAACCCATTGGCGCCGGGTGTCACGTACATACATGCCATGGCTGTTGTGGACCAAACGCCAGGGGCATCATGCCATGCCCATTCCCGCGCTACTGGCTCGTCGGACTGAGGTTGTTTTTCTCCACTAGTAGCGGCTTCATTTATATGGTAAAGATTTTAGGCAATGGCACCTAAAGTGAAGGTAAACCTTCAAAATTTTAATATTTTTATAAATTTTACCAAAATAAAAGCTTTTAGGTGCTATGTCACTCACAAACTACCGATCGAGCAGGGCGCAAACAGGGGAAACTGCCGGTACATACGTAAACTTGCCAAAATTTTTACCCGTTGCTGATGGGTTAAGATAAATGTGCTAGACATCTAAGGTCATATAGCACTATAGGAAGGTATAGTAAAGGGGGATGTCAGGTGATAGTTGCTATGTGTCAACTATCTAGAATAGTGTTGAAAGGTTGAAGATGAGGGAAAAGATTATGGTGGTTTAGGTAAGGGAGTTAGATCAAGTGAAGGATATTTATGCGTCTGAGGAAGGAGAACAGGTTGTCGAGGCAGAAGCTGTAGGATTCTGTAAGGATGTCTGATATGTTGGGAGGTCGGTGAAGGGAGGATAGGTGTGGAAAAGCAGAAGTACGTGCTGTATTAAAGCGTGGACAGGACAAGAGAATGTGTGGGACTGAAAGAGGGATGTTACATAGAGGACATAGGGGCGGGTCTAAGCGTGACATCAGATAGGCATGTGTTAGGCGAGTGTGGCCAATACGTAATCGTACGAAGGCTGTCTCCCAACGTCTGTTTTTGTGAAATGGAGCTGACCAAGAGGAGATTGATGGTTTTAAGGTATGTAATTTATTGTTGTGGAGTCTTGACCAAAAAGATTGCCATCAGGTATACAAGAAGGTCTTAAAGTGGGGGTAGTAATCCGTAGCTGGAATATGTGAAAAGCATTGTTGAGGTGATGTGGACATTGCGGCAATAATGATGATTCTTTACCCTTAATAGGGGCATTAAGGCCTACTGCATAGTCTTCTTCCATGTCTCCCCCCAATCTCTTACCTGTTATTGTCGTGGGGGGGGGGCTTAGGAGACAGAGACAGACCCAATGCAGGGATCTCCCCTGCCTAGGACCTCAGCCCTCAACTCAACTAATTTTGCATGGTCTTTTCCCCCTCCAACTTTTTGTTTCCGTCCCTCCTCCAACCCCTTCTACTATCTACTTCCTAAGGTGTAAGAGCCGTGCTGAAAGGATGAAAGGCTGACCTTGTGCCAGTCCTGAATGGCTTGCAGGAACCATGGGCATGGTACTGCCCTGATTTAGCTGTCTAGCCCTTACCCCCATACAGAGCACTGGGGGGTGGACTGTTTGTTTCCCTTACATAATCAAGGCTTCCCATGGCCAGTAATGAAGATGTAATACCCTTATTAGGGGCAATGAGGCTTGCCCCTTCATCAAATAGCCCCACCAGCTCCCTGACCCCAGGCTCTCCTTTGACCACGACTCCGAACACAAACTACTACCCACTCTTCAATGCCTACTAGTGCATTACCCACCCAAGCAGAGAGACAGTCTCCAGAAGATATTCCTACTCTCCCAACTTCATCAACTTCATCACCTCTACCCCTACAACCTTCATCAAACACCCCAACTTCCCTTATTACTACGTTACAGCCTTATTTACCATCTCCCCGTAATATTACCACCCTCAACAACACTCCCACTTCCACATGCCCCCATCCTTCGACCCACCAACCCTACAAATATCTTAACTATTGTATTTAGCCTGGCCAAATGTGACCAATTTTTTGTGATTCCCCCTACAGCTCCTTACTCAGGCAACACTCAACAATGTCTCCAAAAACATGTAGGCAGAGTCCCTTTCCGCACCCGATGCAATCGCTTCCATCTCGTAATAGTCAGATGTGAAGCTGAAGCTATAGCATTATCAAAACTGATCTCTGACAACCCCATCCCAGAAGAACCTCATCCAACTCTTAATACTTGTACCGGAACTGTCTCTATCTCCCCAACATACTGCCCAGTCGATACCAAAGATTGGTCAGATTGTGGAGAAGACTTGCTCGGCTGCCTCAAAGACCAGGACATTCAGTTCACATGACTTTTCCGTTCATATCTACACTGGTGGACAATCCCTCCCTGTTCAACCATACAAACCTCCTCCCCATCAATGTCAAAATTGTTGGCAATTTTGGAGTCCTGCACTTTCTCCTTTAACTTAATCTAATTCCTTTGTTGCATATTCCTACCTTAACTCATTTAGTCTAACTTTTTCCCTTTACCCTTTCCAATATTTATACTGATGCGTCAACATCTAATGTCATTAGCGGTGTATTCAAAATATAGCAATAGGGTGAGCTTTTGGGGCAGAAACCCCAGGTGAGGAAATTTTTTGGTTCATAAGGTGATGGTTATGGATTCCCAAAACGGTTAATGGTCAAAACAAATAAATGTGCCTCACATCAAAGGTCATACAGAACTATGATAAAAAGGTTTAAAAATTATTCATTTATTTATTGAAAATTTCCTGCATCCTCATCTCAAGTCATTAGCATCGTATTCAAAATACAGTGATAGGGTTTGGCTTGGGGATAAAGCCACAGGGTAAGGAAGTTTTTTGGGTAAGGCAATGATTATGGATTTCCAGAATGGTTAATCAAAGGTCATATAGTAATACGATAAAGTATTGTGGAAAAATGGTTAAAAATGAGTTTACAATTAGGACAAAATATGTTAAATGTCAGGTTTTAAGTTAGTAAGGTAGTCAAAAGGGGTAAAGATGAAAGAGAAGACAGAAACAGAGTACAAAGGTATTTCAAGATTGATACAGCCAGCTTTTAAGCATAGCTCACACACTTTAGGATGTGGGCAGCAGAAGGGGATAAAGAAGAGAAGGAAAAGGAAAGGGGGAAAAAAACATGCAAAATTAGTCAAGGCAAGGACTGAGGTTGAAGGTAGTGGTAATCCCCTACATCGGGCCTGTCTCCGTCTCCTAATCCTCCCCCCATGCATGATAACGAGCTGTTGACATGTAGCACCTTATCATTAATTCCCACTTCTCTTTACCCTTTCAGATACAATACCCTCCCATAGTGCTATATCACCTTTGATGTCAAGTACATTTATTTTGCTTTTTAACCATTAACCTTTATTTACATTTACTTTACTCTTCCTCATACCTTCCCAGTACTTTTAATTGTTACATCAAATCCCCATTTAGTTGATCATACTCCAGATTGTGGCCTAGAATACATAACTTTCCTTTGCTGTACAACTTTCATCTAAACTTCATATGGAGAACTGAAGGTTCTTGCTCCAAAACTAGGGACTTGTTCAAGCATCTTTAAGTCCATATTACACTATTCATTTGTAGAGAACATGAACTTGGCTGTCAGCAAATTGTATTGTATTGTAATCCCATTTAGCTTCAGTACCTTTCCCCCAAGACTTTTGGTACCTTCAGCTTAAAATGACAGTATATAAGATTTTAAGGGACAAAGGATCATCGTTAAACATGTCTGTTGGTGTAAGCAAGGTACTAATAACCACAGGTAAGCATAACATTTCTACATCCATTTTGGTGGTTCTTCCTGTGGTCTTATATAACATTGTCCTTGTGCTTATCATAGTTTTCCCTCAACATAGAAAGTGAACTTTGGATCATTCATAAATGATGTTGATAGTTACATCAACACCTCTGAGTTCCCTCTGACATTTGAGAGTATAAAATCATGTGCCTTTGCTTTTGTCATTACAGGTTCATTCCCTGTTGTTATGGAAGTATTACCTGACATTAGAGGGCCAGGAAGCATTAAATGTGAATCTGCACTTTCATCACACAGGATATCTGATTCTGATTAGTGGTCAGCAAAACAATGTGAAAATGTAGTAATGATTATATTGCAGGTGAGGAAGTATTTGTCACAGTTGAACATTCATCAAACTGGAAAATTAAGTCAAGGCAACCTTGACAATGGTAAATGACTAAAATTAAACGACTGTGATATAATAACAATACTTAACATGACTGGTTATAACAGGGTTACAGGTTTACTATACAAAATGGCACAATGAAAATAGCTGTCAAACTATGTAGGTTAGTCCTTCCCACTAAAAATAGTTCCCATGACAATAATTTGAAGCCAATAATAGAATTATGTTAAATGCAGATAACACAAAAACATTCAGAAATCAAAAACAGCATTACATCACTTCAAATGCTCAAGGTTTCTTTAAGTGCCCAATATACGGAAGCAAAACCCAGCAGCTGCTACCTGCCAAAGCTTTAAAATATATTAATATACACAAAAGCATCTTTACTGCCTGCTACCCCCACTCCTTCATGTGACCATTAGCATGATGGACTATGGTAGGTATTTAGCTCAAAATCAATATATATATACAGAAAAAGTATCATTGATAATATCATCATATTTAGATTTTAAATTTTTGCAATAATAATTATATTATACATACAATATATATCATTTTAGATGCGAGGTAATTCAATATAGAGCCTTTTTTCAATGGCAATAATTAAATTTTCTCTGCACTGTTGCAGTCTATATCCTTTACCCAACTGACATTAATTTGGCAAGTAGCAATATGGTTTCATAAACTTTCATGTAAACTTATTTTCCATTGAAATACATATCCTCGTGCATCATTCAGTTTAGCAAAGCAAAAGAAAATAGTAAGGGATCTGTATCATCTCGAAGATCAAACACATGTGCAGCTCAGACCCATTTTGAACTTGAAGTGACCAGAGTTGGTAAATTTAGTATATATACTAAAAGAAATCTTTCCCTTGCTCAGGTTATTATTTTTGACAATTTTCGAAAATGTCTCTTTCCCTCGACAGATAATCTACAGGATGCCTTCATTACTCTTGGTCCATTTTTTAACACGTTTCCCCTTCAGTTGAGAATTATGGCAAAAATATATTTATATCTTTACAAATAAACATTACTTTGAGGAGCCGAGTACTAAATCAAAATTTTAGACTAAAATATGACCATTACTCAAAACTGAAGTCTCCATCAGATAGGTGGGTTAAGCACTATACAAAAAATAAAGAATTTCTGATGAACTAATGCAGTATAACAAAGAGTTCATATTTTAGTCCACTGCACAAAACTGCTTTATAATGATGAATTTTCACTGAAAAGTAAAATGACAAATGAAAAAAAAATTAAGATTGTATAATTTCAAATGCGAATATATTGATTCAGTTTCTTGACAAACAAAATACGATAAAAATCACTTGCTTTAATGAAAACACACTAAGACTGGAATGAGCTCAGCCCATTTTCATTAGTCAAAAATTACATCCTGAATACAGCTCACAAGACAATCTCCTTCTCTCCTCAAAACTTTTTATATATTTTCACTTTTCTTCACAACTCACAAACTGATGAGCCACTTTTTAAATCAAGCTTTGACATCTCCAAGTAATGATAAAGGGTATACTGCAGAAACTACCTCTCAAAAAAAAAAAAAAAAAAAAAAAAAAAAAAAAAATTGTTTCCCTTAGAGGAACATTTAGGTAAGACAATGGAAAACTTTCATCCCCTTTTGAGTAATTACCTTTCCTTTTTGTGTGTGGAAATAACATAGTTAATTGTTACATTTCATGTAGCAAAGAGGAAGAACTGATGATCATTAAAAATAATACAAAAGACATTGTATATTTTATTTAAGAACATATGAATACATATCAAAGATGGGACTGGTATGCTAGCACGAGCTGGAGAGCGTACAACGTGGAGGCAGTCAGGACACGTAGGGCCAGGCTAGGACTTGGCTGACATCATACCTTTTCTTGCTTAAACATGTTCATAACAATATTAGCAAAATATGATCAGCTAACAAAGCACTGGCAAGGAAGAATAATTTTAATTAAGGTTCTACCTAAGCAAAAAACATTTAGCAAAGAGTACTGTTCTTTGTCTTCAAATTTGTCATAATACTGTCATACATGTCCTGACCCCTGCCTGAGATCACAAAGGTAACTTCACTGAGCAGTGCCCCCTGACTGATATGCTACTACTGATAATACTGCCAAGTTTTCATTGCATCTTTTCCAGTCATCCCAAATTATCATACTACATAATCATTTTACTTCTATCCCCACTTGGCAAACTCTAAGGCTGGTTATAGCTTTTCTATTTATTGCACATAAAGATTTTTGTATTTATTAGCAAACCTCTGTAGCACATTCAGAGAAATTAGGATTAAATGTGATTGAACTTACACCAAGCTCCTTCTCTTTGTAGCAGACGCTTTTTATGAAAATTACCAACGCTAATGTACTGCTCACTCCAGCTTTTTATGTCCTGCAATTAAACCTGTTGGGGATCTCACTTCTCAGTGCAACCATGTTGTTACAACTAACGCTTCACTAGCCCATGTTTTAAAATATTCATCCACGCACTGACAACTTTCCAGCCTCACAAACATTTGTGCACAAAAAAGCATTTATACTGACAATCACTTGCTGAAGGAATAGAACCCATAATATAGGGAAAGAAATGACTCTGCATCACCTTCAACTCTGCATCAATTCATTGTTTCTAAATGACTCAAGGAATAGAACCCATAATATAGGGAAAGAAATGACTCTGCATCACCTTCAACACTGAACATTGTCTTTTTCTGGGATTTTGTAAACGTAGCAAAGATCAACTTCATTATTCAGTACTACAAATACCATAATTGGATACAATTAAAACTATATATAAAATATTAGGAAAGAAACTGTGATAAATAATTTACCCTAGGGAAAAAAGCAATGAAAAATGTTGATAAAAAATGGATACCATCAACCCAAAAGACTTGTAAAAAAAAAATAGTCAAGAAGCAGGATGTAACATGGATGTTACACACACTTGAGCTTCTATTCTAACCATGGCCATTCAATATCCGGCAGTCAAAACACATATGCCACTGTAAAACTTCAGACTCACAGGTAAGGAACATGGATGGTCTACAAACACAATGAGCTTCTAAACACATTTAAGAATATCCCATCCCTCTTGCAGGGTATGTGTAAGACATTTCACTTATTTAACAAACACTGGCAAAATGCCGGTGTAGCTCTCAACCTGCACTAGCTAGTTCACTGCTGAAAAAAACTTTTTAGTGACTCCTCTGACCCTATCACAGAAATGCTTGCAGACAATTAGTCAAAAGCTGTACTGCCAGCATGTATGTTGTTCATACAAAATATTTCCTGAATATCCATTTATCAAAAGTTTTATTTTCTTTTAGGTCTAATAAGATATGTATCATGTATCATTAAGCAGATTTCCAAATATGCTTCATTTGCATTCATTCTGATAAAGTTAGTACAAAACACACAAATAACTGAAAAATTCCATAAACCTTGTTTTAAAATTTCAACATTATTTTTATATGCAAGTAAATATAAAAGCTTCATTAACCATGGCCAAAGTATATTACCATAATTAAAGAATCTGTAATACCTCAATTGTTCCAAGTTCTGTCTTTTCCAAATAATGAAAAAATCAATGAATATTAAATTTACATATTTAAGGGCACTATTTCATCTTAAAAATATCCATATATACCAACCCATTCACATTACACATCTTTACAACATAATTCTGGAAAACATGACTATTTGCTGAAACATAGGCCTCTGTGACAATCTCTCCTAATTAAAAATTCATATATGTAAGCATTTTTAAATCAAATTCAAAGGGCATTTAACTTCCCATAGGTAAAAATGTGTTTTCTTAAATTTCACAATACTTCACCTCCTGACACTGCTTGGCATCAAAATAAGGTAAATGAGTTGTCTATGTCAAAAAAAGCACTCATCACATAATTAAAGAGTGAAATATTGGCAATTTAACAAAACTCACATTATAAATAAAATATTATTTCATCTTTAGTCTGGCAACTTATAATACTTAAAAAGAGAAAAAATGATGCATCACACACATCCGAAGACACTCAGAAAGTGCTAACAATAACCATACCAGGTCAAGTGCACTTAAGTAATGGGGCCTATCAATCACTACCTGTTTCCTTTGACATGCAAGAAAAGTACCAGCAAACTAAGAGGATCTTCAACACCTAGCAAATATAGCTGGCTATAATGAAACCGAGTCCTTAGAGAGGGTTAGGAATTCTGAACCTTTTGAAGTTTTGCCTTCCATCCGTCTGAGATACAACTAACATTACTTTCCAACTCTATGCCTTATGTGGTCTCTTTGCCATTATGTTAGAAGGTGCAATGTTTTCATTTGGATCGTGCTTTATTTTCAACTACATGAGATAGCCAGTAGTTTTAAATATGAAATATATCTTACATTACCCTAAAAAGCATGAAACTAAAATGAATAAAACTGAATAGAAAGACAAACCTTGAAGCAATCACAATATTGCATGATCATATGCACAAGCACATACATGCGCACACACTCAACTCACATACCCACAGCATTTAAATAAATATATGTTACACTTTTCTTTATGTTATCACTCTCCTTCCCATTGTTTGCATATGAATGTAGTTGTGTGCACTGAGTTTGCATTGTGTGTACCTGTGTATCTGCATGTTTATATGTAAGTGCATTAGTGATGTATAAAAAAATTCTTGCATTCTTCTTACTCTGCAATAAATGTAGAAAAACTGAACATTGAAGGGCAATTCCTGCTTTTTGAAATCAACTGACAAAAATAATAACTAAAATCATAAGAAATATGTCAAATCCCTTACATATTTGAGAACGTTTCAAAGACATCATTACCATCAAACAAAATGGAAGCACTGCAAGTGATCGTAAAGGGTTATATAGTCATCATATGTATGGCATTGCTAAAAAACATGAATCTTCATTATTTTTACACAGTACAAATTGCTATAATTAAATAAAAATTGCAATGATAGTGAGAATAATATTGAATTACAATAATTTTCAAAAGGAAAAAATATATATATAAATAAAAGAAAAAAAATACTGGCTTTGACTCACAACTGCTTTTTTTGCAACACACTCACCAAGCAGCACAGATTTGTCAAGATTGTAGCACTATTGCATGATCAGCTATTTGAAATTCCAACATGCATCCTGTGGATAAAAGACACTTTGTCTTCACTAGTGATCTTCTCTGGAGTCTTGACTAGATACCAAATTGACCCTGGTATTCCATGTCTAGAGACAGCCTGGCAAGGCATACAGATAACTGCACTCTTCAGGACTGTTTCTTGAACTGTGCTCACTAATACTCAGTTTAGAAAAAATCAGGGGAAATCATATGGAAAGGGGGGTAAAAATAATAGTCAATAACATTTAATCGATCTCCTTATTACTATATGTCACACTATTCTTGCAAATGCTGCTATTGGTAAATGGTGCCGATGGATTGACTCTTCACTCATCTTCGAAATGTAATTTACTTGAGATGAATCTAGCACTTGAGCACAATTCAGAAATTTCAGTCTAGTCCGTTCAGCAGCATAGGTGAGCAAAGACCACAGAAGCACTACCACTAACATTCACCACTGTATCTACATATCATATTTACAAAAAAGTAATACAATTTTCACCATCATAATCATATATGCTAATGTGGCATAGTAATAATTCCATGACAATGCATAAAAAACACTAGCAAGAGTATGAAAACTGACACTGTACTAAATGCAAAGGCTTATGAGGGTCCAAGGAAGTGGATCCTACATGCCCTTCCAACCCTGGGTGAGGAGGGCACTATGTACATAAGATTTAGGAGTGCAAGGGGGCAGGGCTTGTACAAAATTTGATGTGGAGGAAACCATGGGATAGGCAGTGTGGCTCTCATTTACAATCATTCATAAAGCACGTGAGTTAAGAGGTGTGGCTGTACAAAAGTAGACAAGAAGCCAATTCTATAAACAAAGTATCTTTCCTACGAAATGCAAATCATGCACCAAGTCCATACTGGTGTTTTTTGAAGTTCAATCAAAACCATGTTATCAGTTTGAGGTCAGCATCATCATCACATTCATCCATTCTGATGCCTGGTTGAACTAACAGCACACTGAACACAACTGAGTATACCTAGCATGGCTTAACATCACTACACCTTTGACTACATCAAGTCAATTGAGCTGTACATTTTGTCAGTTTTTGAAACTTGACATATCATTCAAAAGCAGTGCTTCATGAAATACCTTTGCTTTTCATGTAATTTCTATTTATAAAATCAAAAAGGCCTTACCATATTACTAAAACCATGTTGATACACATTGTCTTAAACTCACAAATAACATATAAAATGACTTTTTAATCAAAGCCCTGCTGATATTTTAGCTAGAATAATATGTAGGATGTGTCATGTGTCCATCCACAGCACAAGATAGCCAGCTTGTGGCCCTGCACCACTCAACTACATATAGGCCACTCTCCTGTTAACACACACATACCACAATGCCATTAAAAAGTTTCTTTCAGCCACACAAACAGGCTAATCCTCTTGCAGTTCCATAGACTATTGTGTGGAATACAGCACAAGTCATTTGTGCTTTGCACCAAGAACACCTTCTTTGGTCAATAATATAGTATGGGAAACACAACTATAGTATCATTTCAATAACAATGGTCATGTATCAACTGATAATGTCCTGGGGTTTTACATTAATGTAAAATATGAGCATTGTATATGGTACAGATTTTTCCTCACTTGTACCAAATCAGTTCCTCTATTAAGAAAAGGTAAGTGGTCCCTAAATCATGAAGTAGGCCCTGTAATTGCGACTTTCCTAGAGAAATGCCACTATTTCCAAAGGGCTCCTATTTCTCTGACAGCAGGATCACACTTATCTTCGATTTAGCTCCATCTTGACAGCTGAAAGTAAAATAATAAATTAGTAAATCATTGCAATGAAATTACATTAAAATTTATTTATAATGCACAAGTAATTAGTTCACAGTAATGAAAAAATGTTCATCAACTGTAATTTGACATGACTTCATTGTGTCAAATTTATTCCTTTTGTGGGCTTAACTTTTAAAGTCACTTTATGGAATTAAGTGATTGTTGAACATTCTCCATCAAACCCAACACAGTTTTCTAATTTGATGCTCCTTTAATTATTTCATGAAAGATTGTAGCTGCCAACACAGTTTTCTAATTTGATGCTCCTTTAATTATTTCATGAAAGATTGTAGCTGTGCATTTCTTACCACAAAGCAAGCAAGGGATAACTTGACCAGATGTAAATAATCCTAATTCTAACTCTTAAGGCTAGTAGTATGATAACCCCTGCAATCAGAATGATGTGACCATCACATCATGAAATCATTTGGCCTGAACTTACCATCATGAGAAAATTTGGATGAGGGCCAGGATGACAGAAACTTGCTGTTATGAGAATTTCAGCTGAAGGCAGGGGTAACAGGAATAACTTCCCACAAGTGCACAAAGCTCTTTGATGGTGGTTGAACTCAGTGGGTATTTAGGAAGGGGCTTTTGCATTTTTTCCATCAACAAACAAGTGTGAAATGTACCATCCATGAGCAATGGCTGGAAGAGTGCCAGCTCCAAGGAGGACACTATTTCCATGCACAGGATCCTATTCCTGGCAACCATGATTGGCAGTACAGACTATATTACAGAAGATTTTTATATAAAAAAACTAAATAACAAAATGTTACTTATTATTGTTATTGCACCAAGTTGTGGATTACCAATAGATATGTAGTCTGTACAAGGAGAACAGTCTATTAATATCTGGATAAAGCAAATCAAATGACAAAGATAGACATCAGAAAATGGGAAAAAACAAAGAACACTTATGCAGAAAAAGAGAAAATAACATTGTAAAGGGGAGACATGGAGTCTTGTCCACACACATGAGTGTTCATGTAAGCCCAGCCTACAAGCCACACATCCATCAGAGTGGCTGCTCAAATAATCCTAATGCCCATATTTTAGCCCCCGTACAGGTAGTGAAGCATCCAATTCCAAGGAGTTAAGACGACACACATCAAATAATGCCCTAACATGTATCCTAGCATAAATAATAAGGTAGTGTGAGAATTAAATTGTGATTTCCACAGTAAACATTTCCCTTCTCTAACCTGGATCATCAGCAGGTCAATCTACCTGCTGCCTGCAATGACTGCCATGTGTGAGAAAATCACATATTTTTCCCTTTTTACTACAACATTTGAACAGCTATGAAAACCTATTAACATACATTACAACAAACTCAATGTTTTTACCCACCAATTGAGTTATTCATCCAAACTATTCAAATAGACAGCAAGAATAATCAGATTAAAGCCTCATAAATGAGACTAGAATCTACCTTTCATTGTATAACAGAGGGCGGTCAATTATCCCAAACCATATCATGAAAAAATCTACTGTTGCTGATCTCTTTCTAAATACTAGGGCAGTAGTTTCCAACACTTTCCTATAGGAGACCTACTTGAACAACATTAGTCTTTACAGCTTATCACCTAGGAGTTACTGTGACCTCAATCAAACTTTGAGTATACCATACAAGCTGAATCTACAACATGTACAGAATGATTTGTGAGTACCATTTCTTTCATTCAGTTCTTAAACTGCATTCTGTGAAAATATCAACAGCCTTGTTGAACTGCTCGCCCAAAACAGGGTTGTGCCCCATAAGCTGGCAACCACTGCATTAAGGGGAATCCTGGATAAATACTATTAACTAATAGCTCACTCTAGTCCTTTCTGTTAAATAGACTCCTACTGACAAGGTTGAGAAGCATTGTGAGCTAAAAGGACTTTTCTCATATCCCTCTATATACCATTAAGAGGTCCCATATGTGTGGGTTTATTATAAGCTAATAACTACAAGTCAAAACTTAAGATTAAACACAGGGATAAAATCAAATACTTATATTCAACATTGAAATAAAATATATACAGAAAGCATTCATGCCTACCATCAATTATCTCCTGTTTTACTTTATCTAGCTCCTTCCTCATTTCATCCATTATCTCTTCTTTAAGTCTCTCCAGCTCTCCTGACGATGCCCCCCCACCACTGGATGATTCTCCAAGGCCATTGACTCTGGGGGTGCTTCCATCGTCTGAGGTGGAGCCAAACCTCTTTCGCGAAGGCTTGGGTGATTCAGGTCCAGTCTTGCCATTTGTTGAGGAAGTGTTCCCAGGACTCTTTTGTGACGATCTTGGTGGGTCCTGTGGATGAGTAAATATATCTTGAATATTTCCTGCTCCTTGTTACATCTTCAGACAAGGTTATCTTAAGTTCAAATCAATAACAATCTTTGCATGTATAAGAAAGCATTACTATTTCTACATTGAATCATATGAAGTTATTTTAATTCTGAATTATCTGATTTTTACTTACAAGTCTAAAAATAATGCACATTTATATAATAAAACAAAATTCAAAATCTCCCTAGCTAAAACTCAAATCAAAACAAATCAATGTCAATATCCTTCCAAAAACCAACCTGTGACTGTGTGGGTGATGAAGGAGGGTCCTTGTTCTTGGCCCTGCGTCGTGCAAGTGTGGCAGCCATTTCATCCATCATAGTCATCATACCACCTAATGCTGGCCGTTCCCCTGAGCCACGTCCAATGCTGCCACCAGAGCTGCTGGAGCCTGTACTCTCACTGTCTGGGGCACGAGTCTTACGTAGTTTGGCACTAGCTAAAGCATTAGCTAACCCACTTGGTTCATCAGATGATGACTGAGATCTTGCTAGTCCACCAGGTGGAGGGGGTGGAGGTGGTGGGGCAGCAGCAGCTGGTGGAGCAGGAGGAGCTGGAGGAGGAGGAGGTCCACCTGCAGGTGGAGCAGGAGGTGCAGGTGGTGCTGGAGGACCACCTCCCACTGGCGGTGCTGGAGGTGCAGGAGGTCCACTTGAGGGAAGAGGAGGAGGACCACCAGCTGGAAGTGGGGGAGGACAGCCAGGGGGTGCTGGGGGTCCTGGAGGTGCTGGGGGCGCATTGGGGGCTGAGTTGGTGCGATGATGACCAGGAGGTGGAGGTGGTGGAGGTGCTCCAATGTTCTGTTGGCCAGCCATGCGACGCTCTTGCATCACTGCTACATCTTCTCGCGTCATCGTCCTGCAACAATTTGTACATGATCAGTGTATAGTTTATCATAGCCTTCAAACAGAGAACACACTAATAACAATAAAACATCAAAAAATAACAAGTAAGATTTCAGTGTTAATCTTATCAATCTAAAGCTTACTGATAGAGAAGAGGCATGCTGCTATCTAACTACTTGGGATCTTACAGAAGAAATCCAACTCTACAAATAAAAAAAAGTGAAATGCTAACCTAAATGAATAAGCTTTTACTTACACCTTTGATTCCATCACAGTTTGGCAGAACTCAAATACAAAATATAGCAAATAAAGGAAGGCAGATAATACATATTCAAATGAATATAAAAAGGATACCACCACCAGCGTCAGCTAGAGGAGCCTGGAGCGTGACTAGTTGTCTAGCAGTACTGTAGGAGAACTTGTCTACAGAGATCTTATTATGGGGGATCAACAAACAACAGCTTTACCTACACATTTTTCAGTCTCCTACTCCCATCTCACTTCCCTTAATGCCTGGAAAAGATCTAGCACATATTTACTTTACAAGTACTCATCCACTGGCACAAGAGAAATGACACTGCAAGGAAACAGATAAGTGTAGCAGGTCAGCACCCCAGTCCCCATCCATTAGTGAGAGCAGCTGTGAGTCAGCATCAACGCAGCATCAGTAGAGAGGTAGTGGTAGTAGTGGTCCCTCGCCCGTGCACCAAGAGAGAGCATCAACAGCCCGGGCAGGTGTGATGCAGGCTATCTTTACTTTACCGCGTATCATGATAATGGTGATAGTTGTCGTAGGTCCTGTCGTAGGTTTTCTCGTAGTGGTTGTTGTAGGCATGGGGATCAGCATACCTGTACCCCATGTCCTCGTCGTTGTAGATCTGGTTGTGGTACTGGGGCTGAGACTGTTGCTGAGGCTGAGTCATCATGGGTGGCTGTTGTGGCAATTGCTGCTGCTGTTGCTGCACCTGCTGGGGAGGAGCTGCTGGGGGAGGTGGTGGGGGCCCTTGCCGTACATTACCTCCATTGTTGAGCACCTGCAGCAGAGCATGTCAGCCTTATTATAGCATTACAATTATATAGCTTGATAAAATACATTAATAAAACAGAAGTGTACACTGCTGTAACATTATAGGGTCACTAATCAAAAATAAAATAATAAACAGTTAGAGAGTGCTATAGAACTAATACTATTTTGGAAATTTAGTCAAAATATGCATCAATACATATAATCAAATTGTTCTCCTGCAAACAGAATCAAAATCAGAATATCTAGAAGTCAGAGAAAAACCTATTTTGCTAAATTACTAGGTAAAAGTTGACAATCAGTTTTCTGGCAGATTTGTTAATCATTATTGATGTCTGAAAATTAATCAAAACTCAAGATAAGTGCCTACATAGTATATATATCAAAATCCCAATTATAACTATGGCAAGCACATAATTATCTTGCGCAAATGACTAGAAATGGGGCATGGTGCATTATGAACCTAGGTTTTCATACAAATGGTTGTTTTTTCCTGTGCCGAACACTTGGAATCAGACACATGGATGGCAAAACCAATATCACAATACGATATGGCAATTATGCATAGGCTCCCTTGGCCAGCAAGGAAGGATGAGGAAAGGAGGGCATTATTTACACTCCTAAGCTTATCTTGTGTTTTTTCCCCCTTTTTGGTAATCCTTCCTCATTGTGCAATTTAGTGATGCAGCAGTTGGAAAAGACTATGAAAGAAAATACGGCAAGGAGAGGAAGCAAGAAGAAACCACTCCCATCCATACTCCAGCCACTGTCTCCATCCCTCCTCTCCTACGCCTATGGCTAATTATTGCTTTTGATTACCATTTGGTGCTGAAAATAACATGAGCATCATATGCATTTCCAGCAAGAAATAACTGTTGTGAGCACAGAAATGTCTGAACCATTTGTTAAAAATACATTTTTGTGCTTAAACTGTTCTTAGATATTCCAATATTGATTAGATATCCTTGGGTATGATGGTGTGTTTAGTTTGAGGTATAATAAATGGTCATTTCAACCCAGATTTTTCATTATTTAAAAAAATATTCAAGAGGATAACTGCTCTAAAAAAAATATTGGAATTGATCATAAAAGGTATTAATGAGGTATTAGTGAATATCATGAATGCTAGTTGCATAA